ACAGAGCAAGGCGGCCTGCCTCATTGATTGACAGCTGTAACGATGAGTAAGTCACGCTGTTCAATTGTATGTGTAGACTGTTTTAAAGACTACCGTAGATCCCACCCCACGACTGAGAGCCGCCAATGGACCGTAACCGGACTATATATTCACATATAAAGGATGGCTTGCCAGTCTACTTTAAAATAACATTCCCAATTATTGCTTTGAGGTTTTGGAGTTTCGAGCTGTTTTGGGACTGCAGCAATACATGTATGTCTTTTTAAAACTAACTGTTAGCTCATTAGTCCTAACAAACAGCAACACCATTTCTCAAAACTGAGTTCATGTTCAAATGTTACAAATTTGAGATTTAAAAGGTTCAGGAACAGACTTAAAACATGTTAAAGGAATTTAAATGAAAGATAAGGAGAGTTACCTCTCTTTCCCTGTCCACTGATCTAAATGGGATTTATCCATTAGAAGTCTCCCATTTTTTTTCTTCTTTCTTCCAAGAGTGTAGTCATAATAATAATTTTTTTTTTTACCCCTACATAATTTTACTTTTATTGCAGCACAGAGACCGGTAGAGGCCTACCCTGAGCTATTTCTCTCTCCTTGCAGATGGTAGTATCATCTTACTCACTCCAGATTGGCACATAGCCGGCATTTGTCCCTTACCAGCCAGCATTCCCCTCATGGCACAGCCTCGAAGGCTTAGTTAAATATCAGACCAAAGCTAACTGTGCTGCCGGCCACCAATGAGCTTCGCAGACAGGGGAGGAGGGAGAAGGGAGGAGGGAGAAGAAGGGAGCACATCCTTCAGTAGCACGCTGAAATAAACGGGGAGAAAGATACTTCTTGTAGAAGTAACATCCTCCTTGCCAGCTGCTGTCACAGGCAAGCAGACTGCAAGTTGATTTGCACTCATTACTGGGAAATGAGTAAGGCCCGAGGATGATGACTGCATTACTCACAATGCGTGTGATGTGATTGGAGATGTTGTGCAATGTTTAATCTCCTCCCCTGTGTCCCCAAGAAATAGAAAATAAATGGAGATGAAAATCTTGTTCTACATCTTCATAGTAGGCCATGCATGAAACAAATGGAAGTAGAGAACTGATTATGCAAGATTGTCTGTCCACTACCCACCTCCATTCCCATCTCCACAAGAAAAGGGTTCTCACTTGACTAATGAGCAGGCCACTTTCTGGAGGAGGTATTTGTATTTGTTGTGGCTCCATCAAGTAAAACTATTCACTTACGTCGTGCGTCTGCGCAGTGCACACACCCTCTGGAATGAGAGCATGCACTCAAGGAAGCATCTCGGACAGAATGTACAACACATTGCCGCACGATACGACACGTGTCTGCGTCACCCTTCATTAATTCTGACCTCCTAGTTTACAGATTTTATATTGCATGTTTCCACCGCTTGAAAACCCTCAGCTCTGACTCCAACACCCCTCGCTGGTGTCTTCCACGATTAAACTCAGACATGTGACCTTCTCTCCTCTTGTACTTTACGACCATGTCTGGGTCGAATATAAAAGTGGGACTCGTTTCTGATTTTTACATACTGCGGCTCCTTTTTGTGCAGCTACCCCTCACTTTGCTCCGTGCTCATTACGGACCAACCTTTGTGTGAGCGTTCGAGGCCATCTCCCGTCTGTCATACCAGCAGATAATGGTCAACTTGCTCTTTTACCATGCACCGGGTTCATTGTGATCTTTGAGGACATCATTATTGTCTCCACGCATTGCAACCCAGAGTGCCGTTTGTTGAACCACATAATTTGGTCTTGTTTTTGCAGAAGTTTGCAGGTGTGTGAACATTTTCATGAACATTTTACTCTCGTTATTCCTTCTCCTCTTCATTTGTTTCTCCTTTATACATTTCTTCTCTGATTACCAGCTGATAGATTCTTCCTGCACCCATTCATAATTGCTGATGTTGCTGTAGTATATTGTTATAACCCTTGTGATAAGCGGAGTTGCTATCAAACACTGGTGCAGCAGATATGAGCACCTGTCTCGTTCTCACCCCATTGCCTTCCTTACGATGCTACATGCCTTTGTATTATATTCCGTTCTTCTTTCCTTTAAAACCCTTATCTTGCTTTTTTTTAAGGTCTGTGTCAGCATGTCAAATATTTTCCCTCATCCCAACAGTGCAATCTCCCTACTGGCCCACACTTTTTTTTTCTTTTTTTTTTTTTTAGCGGAAGTCATTTCCTCTCTGCTGTCCCTGTCTTCTTCTTCTTCTCATGCCCGCAGCACACATTTTCTCAGCTTGCTTTGAACTCTTTAATTTTGCGCTGTAGCAGTTTCTCTTCTAACATATTTATTCAATTATAACTATTTTACATCCGAGCACACCTATATTCTCATTTTTTCAGTTTTTTCAGTCGTATTTTTCACTCCCCTCAGCCCTTAACTTACCACATAGTGCAGGCCTCACTTATACAGCGTTAGTTAAATCCCTGTCGCCCTGTCTCAGATTATTTTCTCTGGTTTATTTTCATACTACCACAGCTTTGAGCACAGACAATGTCTCTGCAGCTCTCTTTGCTCACCAGCTCCCAGAAAGTCTTCACTGTGCTCATTTTTTTTCTTTCTTTACCACAAAGTCAACGAAGGAGCTTGTATTTACAACAAGGTCAAGATGTCTTCTTGTCTGGAGCAGATCAGACCTAACAGCAACTTCCCACAACGAAGGCAACCATCTGTCAGTGGTTGATCTTCCTCTCCCAGATAATAATAACCTAGTCAACCACTATCTTTGACCGACAGCCCTTGCTTCATTAAAATTAAATGGGATTTTGGGCTGGATACAGAAGATGACTGAGGGGCCTGCTCCTGTTATGGGAATGTTTGCACAGCGAAAACAAAGGGTTGAAGTTTGGTCATCATTATAACTAGTGCAAGGCAAAGACATCTAGCTGTTGAGCTGCTGCTTACCGTTTATCTTCCACTGGCATTGTTTCTGGATATGAGCTCTAAGAAAACATGTAGGACTAATCAATTTCAGCTGCTGCCAAAAGGCGAAAAATGGTCAATAATGTTTTTAGCCTGTATCTGTTAGCAACTTACCTCATAAACTGCTGGACGGTTTTTAATAAAACTTTCAGAAAGTCTTTATTTGATATAAATCTACTGCTGATTTATTTGTAAACGTAATCCAGTTTGTGATGGCCTCCACCGTTAGCCAACAGAAAACACAACAATTACAAAAATGACAATAACTGTGAGTCTTACTGACATCATCATTATCATCATCATTATCATCAGCAGCAGCAGTTTTATTTGTATATAACTTCTAACAATCCAAAGGACACCACACACATAAAAACATTTACAATCACTATGACAGTAGTTAGGAGTGGTCGCTAAAACAAAACCTCTACAAACTGAACTACTAAAACAATAAAGTCACTAAAACATGAAATGGGAACACTGTTTACAGTGCAATGCGCATTAATGCTAGTGTGTAAAAATGCGTCATAAGCCTTTTTCTAAAACACTTCCGCTGAGTGCGCCATTCTGATGGTCAGCGGCAAAGCATTCCACAGTCTTGGGCCCGCAACTGCAAAAGCTCTGTCCCTTCTTGATTTCATTTTTGCTGTCGGAGCGACCAGCAGGAGCTAACTGGTCGATCAAAGTACACAAGGAGGCTTGTAACAGCAAAGCAGCTCAGACAAATATGACGGAGCCATTGCATGAAGTGCTTTCAAAGTTGATAAGAGTTTTAAAATCGCTTCTGTACTTGACCAGGAGCCAGTGCAACATGGCCAAGCCTGGGTTGATGGGCTTTTTCCTTCTTTTACCTATTAAAAATCTAGCTGCGACATTCTGGACCATGTGGTCTAGAGATGGAGGCCTGACTATGAGCAGCTTGTGAGAAAAAGGATGTTCGTGACAGTGTGTCGACAGCGTGGACACCACTCCTTCACCCCCTTTATACCGCCATTGCGTAGTGTTTTGTGAAAAATCCATGATCGCACCACATTACCACCACAGACTAGACACTTATGAGTGACCATAGGCTCCCTGATGCTGCCTTTGCTTTGCGACAAAAGTGGCACCATTATTTTTGGATGCAGGCTTAAGACTCTGGTAGCCCCTCTACCAGACTTGCTCTTTAAAGCATGGCCGCCATTTAACCCACATAAATGAAGGGGTTCATAATGAACTAGTTGGCATATTATCAGCCTGTCTCACTATTTGATGACGGCATATTTCAAGAACAATCCATCCTGCTACAATTTTATTTATTAATAATTATTTTCAAAAAGTATGGCCAACTCAGCCATTTTGTCTGTAGCATTTGTTAGCATTGATACTCAGTATTTCTGTTTAAAAACCGTTAAGGACAGACCTTATCTTCATTTTCATACTCAAATTAATTCTATGAAATTTTTTACTGTAGACTTTTAAGCTTGTGCACATTTTGTTACCTTTGTAATAAATGTTTCATAGGCCTGTATAATAATGATATGAAAACTGACAGTGAAATGTTTCATTGCCCATGTTTTTACGTTTCATATAAACTGTAAACTAAAACGTCATGGACATAAAAGAGCCCTAATATTTACCCTGTGATCATTTCCAGGTTAGGTGTTTTTTTATTTTTTATTTTTTACTGCTAAATAACTCAAAATTGTAAGGAAATCCCATTAATATTGGGTGATAAACATTATATATTTGTATGCTCATATGTTTTTCCTGCTGGGTTATTTGGTAAACTTGATTTCAGTTCAAACAAAGCTGCTTGTTTTGTGTCAAATTTAGCATAAAACTCAGTTTATGATACAGTTTTATTTGTGGTCACAATATTTCTGCACAAGAGTTTCTACATTATACTCTGATGTGATTTCTATTCTCTTCACATATTTACTTTCCTCTTCACTTCTGCTTTTAGTCATATGGACAAATAAGTGCTGGACTCGAGGGTGTGTTTAAGTGTTCTGTCTAGCTTTTCTTGATTTTCTCCTGATTTCCTCTCCATCTCGACCTTTCAGAAGCCAAGGAAATCGTGCTGAAAGCTCAGATCCTGGCCGGTGGCAGGGGCAAGGGTGTGTTCGACAGCGGTCTTAAAGGTGGAGTGCATTTAATTAAGGAGTAAGTGTTCCCTCATGTGCATTTCACACTGTGAGTTACTGTAGGAGATGGATTCATGTTATTTTCCAGAGTGACAGCAGCTTTTGATGGCGAAGAGGGGTAAAGAGTTCTCTGAAGATGCCCCTGAAGCACAGACACCGTAAAGGTTTCAAGTACTGCAAATACATATTTTGTTTTCTTTAGTTTGAATTTTTGTCTTTAACAGCTGCTCTCAAATGTTGAAACAGGGAATTTTGAAGGCAAGTTTACACTGCGAATAGAAGAGTTAAACAACAAATTTAAAAAGCTTTTCTTTACTCAGGTGCTCCATTTCTCTCCAACATCTTTAAATGCAACAAGAAATGCAGTCTCCTACCACCTAATGCAGCCTTAAAGGCAAAACGGGGATTCATGACATTTGTCACAGACGTGTATGAGCATCACCACTCTTAGCTTAAATCGTCCGCAAACTTTGTTTTCTTTAAGTGAGCTGCTGAAGTTCATTTTCCCCAGACAGTGAAACAACAGTGCAGTTCACCTCACTGTGATTCATCAAAGAGTGCCCCCCCTCAGCTTCATTTGTATTCTTTTACTAAACAAGAGCAGGCTTACAAAGGCAGCTCCAGCATGCTGATTGCTTTCAGATGGAGAGAATAGGCAGAGGTTCACGCAGCAGTAGGACCAAGAAGTCCCAGAAAAGCAGTGTAAAGCTAGAATCTGATGCAGCTATGCTCAGTGCTGTGATATATGTAATACAAATACAAATATCATGAGAAACTAAGGAAAAAAATACCAATCTTTTATCGTTGTCCACTGTTGGAAAACGAAAAAGGGCAGTATATATATTATTATATTACAGCTGTCAAACTAATTGTGCTATTATTGCGATAACACATTCATTATTTAATGCTGACAAATATCATATTGCATGCTAACGCATTTTTTTCAAGTCCTTTACGCGCATACTCCTGTTTAACAATTAAAAAAACACGCTTTCTGCACACACATAAACACTGAGCGTGCCAATGTGATACGAGTGAGATCATAAACTTGTGAGTGAAAAAAGCAGCATTTCTGCTCTCTGAGCGTGCAAATAGGTACTGATGGGAATGGCTACCAAACGAACTGCACATATCTGAACGAGTAAATTATAAAAATGTAAAATTTCTCGTTGCTTAACATAAATAACAACTGGATGCTCACTTACACCCGATTAATCTTTGGAACCTGTCAAATTCAAGATGGCTGCCACAACTAATTGGCTGTTTCTCAATATGCGTACTTCTCTGAACATGTGTTTTCACGTACTTGTGAAGCTTCATCGACATTGGCCCAAGGACTGTTCCAATCCTCAGTACATATCATTGGCAAGTACGCTCAAAGATCTCAAACGTATTCTTGCTCTGTCCGATTGTATCGAGGATGCACCAGTGCATCCTTCTGCAGACTTCATCCTTAAAGGTTTCCCATAATTCATTACATAACAAACGGTTTTACCTCAAATGGAAGAATGGCAGAGGAGAAAGCTCAAAACTGTTGTGTTTTTAAATCAAAAGTACAAATAAGTATGAGAAAATAAATAAAACTTTGTCTGTTATTGTAGATAGTTGTGTGTAACCTTGTATATTTGTGGACTCTTCACAACCACAAAATGGTAATTAGCTAACTTGATATGGATATAACACCAGTGTTGCCTTTATTTTTATTTCAGTAGCATAAAGCTGCACTTGTTGCCATAACATAACAAATATGGTTCTGTTCTAAATGCTGTGCTCGTACTCCCACAGTCGATAGAATAAAGTTTCTAATGTACTTGTGCACTCTGGTATTGAGAAATGGCCTTTTACATGAGTCTGCACTAAACTGGCTTCAGACTTCAGTCAATTTTACAAATATTGAGCTAGAATTTCATGTGACAATATAAGTGAGTCATTCACCGTGCTCGTAAACCAGGTGAGATTTTGGGATGATGCAGTAATCTGTTGTAATGATAATCGAGTAAAAATTTCATACGGACGTTAATGTTTTAAAAAGAAAGTTTGAAAATCATATTTGGTGTTTGCGGTTGGTTTTACTAGACAGACACTAGGGGGTGCTCAAAGCAAGCCAAAGCTGTGTGCCTTTTAAGCATTTAGCATTTGGAGGTAATTGGAGCAACATAACTCCTGCTCGGATCATCATGTTTTTTTCCCGCTAATGGAAATTAGCCTGTTGTATATTTATTTATGTAGCAGGTTATGGTCTCTGTTAGAGTTGTTTACTGAAAAACATTTTTATTTGTCGATTTGTGTATTATAAATAACATTTGAACAGCTAGAAAACCCTGTAATGCTGCTAGCTCTGCTGTTGGTGCAGTCATTTTGTTCTTTAGAGTGCTTTTTACACATTTTCAGTACTTTTTAAAATATGGTGATATTATAGTGTATGTTGTTTTTGTGGGTTTTCAAATATATATGATCAATAAAAGAGCAGTAATCCTATTGATTGACATTTAACCTCTGTTTCAGCCCCGCAGTGGTCGGTGAGCTGGCTAAAAAGATGCTTGGTTTCAACCTGACTACTAAGCAGACGCCTAAAGAAGGAGTGAAAGTGAAAACGGTGAGTAAAATTAGAAGAACTTTTGTTTTCCTTTTGCTTCAGGTTTTCAAAAATGTTTCAGTCTTTTCCTCATCTTTCTCTGACCTCATTTCAAGGCATTTTGAGTCCAGTATCACTGCTCTGTGGAGGCAGTCGGGCTCTTTCTTATTTTTTGCTGCATTGAAACAGAAGCTGTCCGTGGTTTTTCACTGTGGGTTTTGCGCTGGCTGGTGTTGTGGCTTGTTGCATAAATTGAGCCATGCCCAGTGTGAATTTAAAGTGTTTGGTAAACAACTGTTTCTCTGAGCCGCTAACAAGCAGGCATATTATTTTCTCTGCCCGCATGCTGCACCTGCTCAAAACAGACGTTTCCAGGTGATGAAGCCTTCGCAGTGTGTGTGGTTTCTGCGCTCCTCTTCTTTGTCTTTTACGTCCTGCTTGCCCTTGTTTCTGACATCTCTCCCTCCCATGCTACCCACACAACTCCTGCTCACACTCTTACTGCAGAGTTTAGGGAGATTTGTGTGCGTTTCAGAAAGCACCAGCAGGAGAAGTCATTCAAACAAGCTCAGCGTTAACCGTTTCAAAGGCAAACAAGCCGGACAAAATTTTAATTAGTTGAATTAGAGGAGAAATGCCCTTTATCTGGACATTCACCAAGTACATTGCCTATGTTGCAGGATTTAGACCTGACAAGAGCAGCCATTGACTGACCTGAAGGATTGAATACAAGAACAACCTTATCCAGCTACTTCAAATGGCATAAAAGTTTTGTTATTGCACTCAGTGGAGCTCATGCTCAACTGGCACTTAGATCGAGAAAAAAAAAAAAAAAACATAAACAAAGGGCCAACACCTCAGCATCCACATGGATTTGTGATTCTGGCCCTGATAGATGGATGACAAGAGAAGACGGGGAAGACGAGACAAGGAGGATAGACGAAGGCTAAAGAACATGACGGGATGGCACAAAGTCAGGCTTTAAGGGGAATAAAAGAAAGGACTAAGCTGGTGTTTAGTTTCAAAGAAACACATCAGATTTGAAATGGAATGTGAGACTTTTGAGACAGGAGAAAGCAATGTTTGGACGAGAAGTAATAGATAGAGAGGGTGATCTGTTCTCATTCAAAATAGATGGGTGATGGGCCGAAGGACTTGTGCATGTTCACATAAATGTTGTAGCTAGAAAACCTGTTGAACCTTAACTACCACAGAGCTAGCCTCCTGTAGGGGTTCTCCCTTACAAATGATCTTCTTGTCTCTGACAAGGTAAACCTTTACTTTTCGTTAGTTCGTTCGTTCGTTCGTTCGTTCATTCATTCATTCATTCATTCATTCCTCACAGCAAATTAGTTGTCCTATAATCTCCCACGTCAGGTTCATACCTTTTGAGTCTGACATAGTCTATTGCGATCATCTTTTCGCTAACCATGAGTTTAATCAGAGTAGAATCCATTACCTCTATTCCAATTGTGATTGCATTAATCATGCTACCTGTTCTCCCTTTAATGTTACATTTGTACCAATACTTTTACACACCCTGGTGGATGCTTTGATTTTCATTTTCATTTCTCTAAGAATGTGAATGAAAACACAAAAACCTGTTGGTCAGTGATGCTGTGAAGCCATTTAAATTAAAAAAAAAGTGTGTGAACTCATTTAAAATCAGCATAATAAAATAAAATACCAAAATTACCCCATCAAAATGTAAATATCCATGTGATTTTGGCCTGAAACGTGCACACAGCTCGACACAAATAGGTTAGAATGGCTTCAATATGTAACCATCTTTACCTCTGATCTGTTTCTTTGCGATCAGCGTGTGATTAGAAAAGGTGTGTGAGTTTTTGGGCTCTTAAATGAAGACTTATGTCTTCCATCCACCGCTGCACTGTGGTTTCCACTTTCTGAGTCATGGAGTAAAGCACAAGATTTGTCACAGGATCTATGAGAAAAGATGACTGATCTGTATAAAACAGGAAATTGATATAAAAAGATGTCCAAGATATGGATGAGTAAATGAGTAGGAAAAAAAAATTGTTTTTGTTCATATTCTTTGACCCCCCACCCCACTGCCACCACCACCACCACCACCACCAAAGTTTTTTTTTAAATCCACCAGGGTGTGTAACGTTATCGGCACAACTGTTTACCAGTATGTTTGGTCTTCGTGGTGTACGTCTCTGAGTTGAGTCTGTTACAGTAGTAACTCCTACGGTCCAACATAAAGTTAAATCTTGCAACAAGCAGATGTGGACAAATGTTTGGAACGGACAATCGTATCTGCAAAATTTGCATCATTGACTTTTTATGATGAATTACGAAGTTCTTCTTTGCCAAGAAAAAGCAAGCACCAGGACAATGTCCTAAAAATAATCCAGTTGTGGGACCAAGGCCCCACCAGTGTCAAGCTTGCTCAGGTAACGGCAGTAGTGTGAACTTTAAATGTTTCCATAAAGAAGTACTAACACTGCAAAAAAAAAGTCTTTTTGCATAAAGGAATAAAAACCATTGAAATGTATGGCATATTATTTTTCACTAAACCATAGAAACATATGTTGAAAAAAATTATGGCATTGTCACAGGTTATATCTACAGGGGTGGACCTTTAAAGCGCCCGAGCGCCAATGGCGCTACATTTTCTCGTCGGGTGGTAAATACTTGACGACTTACCGCCCGGGTGGCGCCCAAGCCTTGTTTGTCATTTACACACCGGCTTTCACCTACATCATGGCCGCGCCCTGTAGGAAGCCGCCGTTTTCGTTTCGCGCACGTGAACCTGCGCACCTCTAGCCACGTACTGCACTTGTACGATTCGTGCACGTACTGCACGATTCTAGCTATAGTCACGTGAACTAAAAGTTCACTGTTAAGACAGAGTGGAACCACGCTAGAAACACACAAGCACACAGGAAGATGGTGCCACCACAGGGATGGGATTTCTTGATGAAATCTTCGGCAAAACGCTTTAAAACTGGTGAGGAGAAGCGAGACAGTTCGAAACGGTATGAAGCAGAGAAGCGTGTGCGTAGGTGGAATGATTCTTGGCGGTTTAAAGAAGACGGGAGGCGCAGAGAATGGCTGTGTTCGAGTTGAGCAGCGCCTCGCCTGGAAAACAGACGAGAGCAGACGGAAGCAGCAGGGGGAGTGGCTTAAAGCCGGCGTGTAAGTCGGACAGATTTTTTTTTTTTGTTTGTTTTTTGTTTTAGTTTTTTTCCCCTTGAATATGCTTTATTGACAAAGCACATAATACAATTACAAAGAAATAACAAGCACAATGTCAGGGGGTTTCTGTGGGAAAACAAAACTGTCTAACAAAGAATCACATGATATTGAACAGGGAACATAAGTTTATGGTTTTGACAGCTTTCAAATTTTGAGAATGTTGTATGGTTTTTCTATATTGTCTGGTTTCATTTAAAAAGCACTGAAAGGAAGGTTTTGCATTAGAAAGTTTCAAGTCGGACAGATTTTCCTGCATGTGTAGCTCGGGGGTGACGATGGCTGAAGATATCGCGTTAGCGTTCACTCTTGTTCAATTTTCAATTTTAATTCTGGTGCCTGTTAGCAGCTGAAACACATCCTCACGTGCTTGTGGATATCATATATTCTATATGAAAACATGACTGTAATAATAAGTAAAGGTTATCAGCTGTAGCTTCAGTGTGCTCATAGGAAACGTGACAAAAGAAAACAAAACAGTTCTCTTTATGGCCTATATAGTTGTCATCATCAACATAACATGATTTACAGAACACATGTGACCAACTAACATTTCATGTTCTACCACCGGATGTTTGGATCAAAATATGAACCACTCAGATCTTAGATTAGGTGAGAGCCAGGCGTTTCCCGTCATCCCCTAGGTTTTGCAGCCGAGGGAGAGCAACTGCAGCGCCTTGCTCCAAAATCTGCGGCCGCCTTGATCTCACGAGGTTATCGTTGCCTACGTATGCATGACGGCAGAGCAAGTCGGCGTCAAGTCGGACACAAATCTAACTGGCATGCACTGCTCGCCGATCACTGCTGGTCTAATCTGCGCAGAACTGGCTTATCTCGAACACAGCCAATGGCTCGAGTACAGCAAAGCGGAGTTGGTGATGTACTGCTTTGTATGCTGGAAGTATGCAACGACAAAATCGAGTTTTGTTGAGGGAATAAACAAATTCAAACTTGAACACGTTATTATTGTTTGTGAATGTGTACAAAATAAAGGTTTATTACATTTAAAACGGTTCAGTTGTTATTTTGACTCGTTTTGGCAGCTGACCAGCGGGGCCGGTAGATTCTTGGCGGGGCCGGTAAATATTCAGAGTTACTGGCCCGGCTGGCCGGTTGGTTTTGAAATTAATGTCCACCCCTGATCTAGCATTGTTCTTTGACTATGTGTGTCCAATACGATATGTCAAAGTCATGTTTTCTTTTTTTCTTTTGTGTGTTCCAGCCCGCACTCAAAAATGAGTCTGCTGAATGATGAAAACATGTTTGCTGTGTGTTTAGATGAAATTAAACGGTCTAAGAAATGACACATGTGATCAGAGAGTATAAAGAACCATCCGTCGTCAAACTTTTTGACAGGTCTATTGTTCTTTGACCTTTATGACCTTTCCCCCGAACCACCTTACTTCAAACTTGACAGGTGTATTGTTTTATGACCTTTTGTGATATGACCTTTAATGACCCAATATGTCAAGAAATGGATTAATGACTGTTGTGTAATGACCCATGAAGTTATTGATCGTAGTCCCCTTCTGTCAAGATGTATATTGATGATCTGCTTTGATGTATTCAATCTGCACCACTTTACGTCAAGTTAGGATTGATAACTCTTTTGTGTTAGGATACCTCACCCCACAGTTTCCACAGCCCTTTCCTTTCATACGTAATACCCCATATCCCTCCCTCCAACCCTGCTTGCCTCTTTTAGAGCTCTGATCAATTTCAGCGGACAGACTGAGAACGTTTCAGAATGGTGAAAGGCCGAAGAAATACCTCTAAGAAAATGGTGAAGCAAGAGAGGAGAAGGATGAAGTGTCTACAACCGATGCTTCAACCTCTACCTGGGAGGAGAAGGAAGTGAAAGAGGAGAGCGTGGACACACCGTCGCTGCTATCACAGACCTCGCTCTGTGAAAAATCCATAGTGATCCATCAGCTGCCTGCAGGGGGTGGTGCTCCCCGCAGATCTACATTCTACATGTGTAGAGTTCAGCTTCCTCCTTTTGGCGGTAAAGAGTCCTTGGAGCAAATATGGCCGCTGGAACCTTACGGCTGTACCGGTAGTTTTGGGTACCGGTTCAGCTATGACACTAAAGAGCTGTGTCTAATCCATGATGTGTTCTCTCCTACAACGACTGGGCAGTGCTCAACTTCGCAGTTCCATGCAGGGTGTACCAAGATGATCATGAAAGACCTTGTCCAGCTGTAAAACGCAACAGGCCGCAAGCTCTTCCATCGCTGGATGAAATCCAGAACGCCGTGATAGCTTTCAGTGCTTCATGGGAGGGGCTGGAGGATGCGGATGGGCTGTGGATTTTCAAGTCCTCGGTCCGGGAGAGAGGATCGGAGCTCTTTTTTTGTGCTGGAAAATGTGCATGCTGCATGCGGTATTTACCACCTTTTACTGGTTGTACCTTTCGAGGCCTGGTGTGAAAAAATAGATTAAGTGACGGATCGTATCACTTCACTTTTTGTACCAGCCGCTGCTGGAAAGACATTCTGACAGTGCGAAAAAAGCTGGAATTCTAAGCCCCACCTCAGGAGGAGGAGGAGGAGGAGGAGCGGCGGATTGCATCATCAAACCACGGCCCCCATCATTAGTTATAAAGAGCTTTTAGCTAGAAACCATTTCATCCCAGACCATCTACCACATCAGCATGATGGGTTTCTACTCTCAGTCAACCCTTGATGAACTATGGACCCCGGACAGCTTTTCCCCGCAACCGAGCTGGGTGCTAGCTGCTTCATCACCACCGAGATACAACGGCAGTCCGCGGCCCACGTCGCCGCCACCACCATCATGCTTTCCAGAGGATAACTTCCCACGGCTCCCCACAATCATGGAGGTTCCGGAGACCATCTCTGCTAACGTACCATTCAGACTCTGGATCGACGAGACTCCATTGAGTCCTGATACTCCGCATCCTTCAGAGACATCAATCCCTGATCCGCCACCGGTTTCGCCTCAACCTGCTCAGGAGGACAGTGTGCAACAGCAGACCCTTGACATCCAGAGCACCGGTGAGGAGCCTCAATGTCTGCCTGACTGGGTGTTTTCAGAAGACAAGGTGGACCGAGTGAAGATGGGGCTTCTTCACTTGGTGAACATGGTGATCAAAGCTCTCCTACCTACAATCTGTCACGGGATGCAAGACCAATCACCCCAGTCAGCGGCAACATGAATGTCTTTACGTAGCTGAAAATGAATTATTTTACGATTTTCACTTTTCTGACATTATCAGCAGGGTTTTAACACCTAAGCTGATTCCGGCTCTTCAAAGTTTTCTCAGTCTGCATGGCTTCCAGCTGGACGTTGAGATCCTGTTCACCATGGCTGTGACGCAGCTGCACGGACTCAGGGCTGTGATACCCATTCACAAAGACATTTTTCCGGTGTACGATCGCCTGACCAAAGCTGACCTGGATGCACTGGCTGCGGTGGTGGAGTGAACTGTGGGGGGCACGCTGTCTCTTCTGCAACTTGTTTATATATATATAAACATTTCTAGTAGTTAACCATTAGATTGTATTCATTATATTTGACTAGGCCTCACGGCTGTTTTTTACAATGTGATTAGATTTTATATTTGATTAGACCGCATGGTTGTTGTGCACAGTTAACTCCAGTTGTAGCTAGGTTGCTACCTCCGTTAGCTTAGCTCCCACCTCCGCGTTAGCTTTGTGTTAGCTTCAGGTTAGCTTGTAGCTAGTTCGACCGGGTGTCGTCAGTTGATCCCAGCCTTACAGTCCCACCCTCAGCTCCTCCTCTCTTCCCTTTTGTGGAATTGTCTGGGCTTGACGGAACCTGTGACACGGCCAAAATGGCGGTGTTAGCCACCTCCCATTTTTCTTCAAAAACGTGTTATTGGAGGCTATGGAAACCCATTGTCCAATATTTCTATGATAGTTGATGTCTTGAATCTGGTGAATTGAGCCTGTCCACCTAAATGCTTCCTGGCACTGCTTTGAAAGAGAATGAGCAGTTAGTTGCTTGGCAACAACCCCCCACCACTGATTCCCATGTATTGGATGCATTTACAGAACAAAGGTGTGTGTGTGTGTGTGTGTGTGTGTGTGTGTGTGTGTGTGTGTGTGTGTGTGTGTGCGTGCGTGCGTGCGTGCGTGCGTGCGTGCGTGCGTGTGTGTTGGGGGGGGGGGGGGGTCTCACGTATGCAAGGGAGGGGCTGTGGGAACTGTTGTGTTGTGTGTATCCTAACACAAAAGAGTTATCAATCCTAACTTGACGTAAAGTGGTGCAGATTGAATACATCAAAGCAGATCATCAATATATATCTTGACAGAAGGGGACTACAATCAAGAACTTCATGGGTCATTACACAAGTCATCAATCCATTTCTTGACATATCGGGTCATTAAAGGTCATATCACTAAAGGTCATAAAACAATACACCTGTCAAGTTTGAAGTAAGGTGGTTTGGGGAAAAGGTCATAGAGGTCAAAGAACAATAGACCTGTCAAAAAGCTTGACGAAGGGTGGTTCTTTATATTCTCTGTGATCAAATAACAAAAATAAATTAACAGACACATACACACTGATCCTTAGTTTTAAATGTATTTTGTCTTGCTGTGACATGTCCAGGTGATGGTTGCTGAAGCTCTGGACATAAGCAGAGAAACTTACTTTGCCATCCTGATGGATCGTGCTTGTAATGGACCTGTCATGGTGGGAAGCCCCCAGGGCGGTATGGATATTGAGGAGGTGGCTGCCAGCAACCCAGAACTCATCTTTAAGGCATGTTTACTCATTTTTCCGACCAAGTATCAATTTAATATGAAATATTTACAATGAAAACTGGGATAATGAACATGTAACTTACTTTAAAGAGATAGCTAATGAAATGACTTGGGTTATTGTCCTTTTAAAGTAAAACAAATGTGTTCTTTCACTTGCTATTTAGCTTAGTTGCATAAAAATCTACAGTATAGAAGGTAGTACGTACAAGTTTGATTAAGACCTTACCAGTGGGTGGCCATTAGGGTCAAAAATCTTTGGGAGCACCAATGAAGAGGTAAATGTGTTTATGAATGGTGAAAGTTTAGTAACCGCTTGTTACAAACCAGTGAATGCATTTTGTCCTCACAGGCTCACGTAGAAGGAAACATGGCATCTAATATGGCATCACCAAGAAACTTAGACTCACTTCCACGTTATGTTACGAAGCTGCCCATATTTGGGCATCATTTAATTTGCTTTCAGTAACATTCTGATTCCAGTGATTAGTGGTAAAAACCACACATGCTTCTTTAAAATTTTCTTCATCTTCTTCATGTGATCTTTTTTTTTAATCCCTTTTGTAGAGAATAATTTAACTGGGTTTGTGTACAGCTTCATGTTGTAACATAACATGAGCAAATACAAAGTAATCTGCTTATGTTTTAGGTTTCTGTTAATTAAATTTCACCGTCCTGGCATGTTCCTGTCATTGTCACCAGATGTGCACTTTAAACACCACATATGTTTCCATTGTGCCACTCTATAATTCAGTCATTTGCAGGGGAATAGATCAGTGTGTTATAAAGCTCCCGCATAGATCTCGCACACTGCTGATGGAACCTTTTCCAGTTTTTCACAGCTTTGGTTTTAGACTGGCCTTTAAATAGATTTCATTTTCACATCAGTCTACTCATTATTAACAATAGCACAGTAAAAAACTAGTTTTGGAGTACTCATTTATCTAAAAAAAACAGAAATATTCCATTTAGTTGATTATCCACACGAGGTTCATTACAAGTTTGGGACACTTTTAGTTTGGCTTCTCAGAGTTTTTCCCCCGAATCGTCATAGCTGAAATGTTCAAACCAAACCTTTTTAGAAGGAGAATATTATTTTTGATCATTTCTGATATGCATTTTGGAGTTTGTGTCTCCAATGATAGAGAAAGGATTCTTTAAACATGAGGACATATTACAAAACAAACAAACTAATAAAACTAGCATGACTCAGAAATAAAAGTATCTGACTGGTGTGTTTAATTTGAGTGAGTGGAGTGTAAACCAGGTGTGTTGAACTAAATGCCCACTTTCAAGTAACCAGTGTGGGAGGGAGCCTTTATTTAGCCATACTTAAAAAATTTTTTTTTTTATGACTGGTTTATTTTGCCATGCTCTTTTATTTTTCACACTCTTAACAAATTTCACACCTATGGTCATGAGCTTTGGGTAATGACAGAAAGAACGAGATGGCGAATACAAGCGGCCAAAATGAGTTTCCTCCGTAGGGTGGCCGGGCTCAGCCTTAGAGATAGGGTGAGGAGCTCGGACATTTGGGAGGGACTCGGAGTAGAACCGCTGCTCCTCTGGATCGAAAGGAGTCAGTTGAGGTGGTTTGGGCATCTGGTCAGGATGCCTCCTGGACGCCTCCCTGGGGAGGTGTTTCGGGCATGTCCTGCCGGCAGGAGGCCCCCGGGTCAACCCAGGACACGTTGGAGAGGTTACATCTCCAATCTGGTCCGGGAACGCCTTGGGGTCCTGCCGGAGGAGCTGGTGGAGGTGGCCGGGGAGAGGACGGTCTGGTGCGCCCTAGTTGGGATTCTGCCCCCGTGACCCAGACCCAGATAAGCGGAGGAAGACGACGACGACTTAACAAATTTCCATTTTTGCCTTTTTTGACTGAAACACTTGTGTTCTCACTTGTGACGTATTTGCCCAAATGACAAATATAAAAGTTTAATTATAATAAATAGGAAACTGTGGACAATTGATACATTTGAGTAAAAAAAAATTGATGCCTGACAGAAAACACCAAAAACAAATATTGCTGAGAAAAAAATTATTTTTCTACTTAGCTGTGTCTACTTTCTTGACAAACATGAATGAATTAATCCAGCTGACAACAGTGTCTTAGGCCATTCTTCTGTTGTTTTGGCCTTGGTAATCCAGTGGTTAAGACATTTGACTGTCATCTTCTCTTGTCATTCCCGGTTATAGCCAGCTGAAGCTGATTTCATTTCTTTAAAATGTTAGTTGCATTGATGATTTTCTGCTAAATATTTTCTGTCTCTAAAGATCTATGAATTTGGTCATTTCCAAGAAGTTGATTTTGTATTTGATTTTTTGATTTTTTCATTTACTCTGCTCACCTCACATGGACTCACACTGGCTAAATAAACATAGAAAGTAAAAAACAAAATAAAAAAAGAAATATTGATTCTTACTTTTTAAACAGTTTCCCAATAAAGGGTTGAAAACAATACTGGCAAGTATAGCTAAAAAAATTAAGAAAAAGGTTACTGCCGCGACCGAGATGCAAACCTGCGCAAAACTACATGCCAGCTTAGCACTTTAACCACTGGACTACCAAGTCTGCTACATTACAGCAGATGCCTATGCTACATATCCTGTGCTGGTCAGGGAAGGCAGGTGTCAGATTTGAGACTAGCTTACATGAGACGAGCAGGGCCTGATGACACACTTAGTTCCCATTGAGACTTTACAGGATTTTCTAAGTAAAACTCTAAACTTCCTGCTAGAAAAGGAAAATGCTTGAATGCAGCCAAAAATGGCTTTTTGTTTTTTATTTTATTTTATTTTTTCACAAGGAAATAATATCACATGGTAAAAAGATCCCAATAAGTGGATTTTCTATGAAATGGCCCCTTTAAAAACAACTAATAAACAAACCTGATTAACGAGCACATGAGACAGTCAGATGTGTGTCTAACGCTCGTTGCGTGAGTGTTTGCGACCTTGATAAAATATAAATCCACCTCAGATATGGCTCGCTGTAGCAGCCTTAGTTCATTTGTTTCAAGATGGATATGAAACATAACAAAATGCTTGAAAGCTTCTGCAAACTTTGAGTTAGTTCTGTATGTCATTCATTATTGAAGAGAGTATATGAAGTACGAGTCCTCAAACTGTCAATCATCATGGCATAAACAACTGACAACAAACTCCATCGTGTACATTAAAACCTGAACACACACACACACACACACACACACACACACACAGAGAGACACACACCAAGGTGACAACTTCATACAATGACATCAGCCATTTTAAAATCCTTGTTAAAGGATCATAAATCAGCTTGTTTTCATCAGAAATTAAAGATGAGGCTTGGTCATCTTGAATCCTTTATTCCAGTCCCAACACTCCCCTTTCTGCACGTATGACTGCTTGTCGCTACTTGTGATCCAGGTTAATACAAAAGTAAAATCAGCTGTTTTTGTCATATCGTTATTCTTCTTTTTACTCTCACTTCTTTTACTTTATCTGTCGTCCTCTCTTCTTCTCTGTTATTCTTCCAGGAAGTCATAGATATATTCAAAGGTGTGCAGGATGACCAGGCGCTTCGCATGGCAGCTAATTTGGGTTTCAAAGGACCTCTGCAACGACAGGTAATGGGTGCAGCGAAGGCTTTTAAGCTGCAAGCTCTACAATTCACACACACCGACAGAAGCGTGTGCATTAACAAAGCTACCATACTTTGGCTATTATTAGTTTTCCAGAGGCAAGTAAGTGTCATTACACAGGGCTCACCTGCCAGGAGGTGAATTGTTGTAGCTGGCAGTGCTGCATGGCCTTGCGCCAGTTTCTGGGAGCTGACATCACTAATGACACTGGGATTTGACCCCACACAGATTTAGTGATCAATGTATTTTTTGATCTTGCATTACACAAGCACTAAATATTGCTGTTGTTGTTTTACACAGTGAGCTAAACATGCTTTATTTCCTTCCTCACCTCAAGTTGTGAAAATCATGTTCAAGCATCATTTGCTCATAAAATGAGGCTGGGGAAGCACGGCACAGAAGCACCTCAGGTTTCACAGTCCAAATGGGTCTGTGTGCTTGGATGAGTCGATTTCAAAAGCCTCTTTGTCTCTTGGCATTAAATCACTAATTTGTTTTCTTTTCCTTGGGCGCCCTGGCATGAGAAATCAGATTAGCTGGAAACTGTAACACATGGAATACGTATAAATCAGAGAAATAAATCTGCAAACTTGGGCTGAAGACAAGTTGGCTTTGGTCGCATTCCATTATTTTGTTATCGTTCCGTTCGCAGGATGTTGAAAGGGCATTGATTTGAAACGGGCAGGGGGAAAAACGGAAAATGATTGGTGAAGTGTTTGCATTGTTGGTGTGCTTTCCCCTGGTTGCTGTGAGTCAGCTGCCAGACGGTTCGATTTAATTAAGATGCACTTAAAATACCCTTTTCTGTTTCTATTAGGCTGTCTGATGGCATGAGTTATTATGTGTGTTCCTGCTAAAATGTTTGGGCATTTTTGAAGTTGTTAAATTAAAATATACAGTGAGTTTAGTGGTCATTAAATGTGATATAATTGCTGTTTGACATGCACAGTGTATAAATAGTTACAACTTTACAAAATGGCTCTTATGGCTAATAAACTGTAACTACTGTAACTATTTAAATGGCTAATAAATAGTTACAGTAATCATAATGTAATGAATCAATCTGTAAGGTTTGTAACGCAAGCATGGTCAGGGAACACTCGCCCTCCTCTCAGGTATTTTCCCTGAGACGCTTCTGCTGGAACCAGACACCCACATTTCAAGAGGAAACAAGATAGTGCTAAACACCAGTCGCCGTTTCATAGGTTCAAACGTCTTGTTGTCCGTGATTTCAAATGGTGTGTTTCTTTTTGAGACTCAAGTGTGTGATGAGTGGACACTAACAACGGTTTTCTTTAACCTAGAAGACATTATTCAGGAAGCTATTTTACATTGGGTACATTAGTCATCATGATACTAATGTTTTGGCACATTGAGGTACACAGTGGTTACATAAGTCAAAGCTGATTACATTCAATCTAAGGAAGGTAATTCTATTTAAGAAATATTTTAAACTTAGGAAACGTAAAGTTTACAAAACAAAACTTTGTTAAAATAACTGCTAAAACAAAAAAGCGAAGCAAGAAAAAAATTTAAAAAGTTGGCATTTGTATGTTTTTTGCTTTTGCACCAAACTTGTGGAGCATCTTGATTCAGGTGTAGCATTACTGAATCCCTGCTAATGCATTTATCACAAAAATACTTCAGAAAGGGCAAAAAAAAATATATATATATATATATATATATATATATATATATATATATATATATATATACATAAACATTTAAAAGTTTCACAGAAATGAACTGGAACCCTTATTTTTATTATTCCTGTTGTGGTATACCTATTGTAGTGCAGATGTGAATTATAGTTTTCAAATAAGAAAATAATACTGGATAAAGTAATTCAGTGTAAAATCAAGAATTGTCTTGCAGCTGCTAAAATCCGTTCACGGTTTGTTTCGATGCTCGTCTTTTTTAGTCATTGACACACCTTGTTATAATTGTAAAATAACATTTCCCCAGGATTGGTACACTAAGCCAGCTCTGACAGCCTGCTGTTGACTGTGATTTGTGTGATGTTTTATGCAGCTTGCAAGTGGAGCTGAGTGGCCTCAGTGGGGCCGAGAGCTCAGAGTCAAACCCTCAGGTAATTACTGTCGTCTGTGGACTTTACAGGCAGCAGATCAGATTAAGAGGCTCTATGATCTGTTCCTGAAAGTCGACGCTACTCAAGTCGAAGTCAATCCTTTCGGAGAGACTCCCGAAGGACAAGGTACTGTTTCACAGAAAATGGTTGTCTTTGTGTGTGTGTGTGTGTGTGTGTGTGTGTGTGTGTGTGTGTGTGTGTGTGTGTGTGTGTGTGTGTGTGTGTGTGTGTGTGTGTGTGTGTGTGTGTTTGTTGTTTACTGCCCTGTGTGATTTACTGTGTTATATTATTACATTTTATTTCATTTTGCCTGAAGAATCAGCCATCTATTAAACATTGTGAGGCACAGGATAGTCTTGTTTGGTCTGAACTGGTAAGTGTACCATAATTGTAACACGGCGACATCAGCCTCTTGTCAGCGTCACTTTGTCTGGATCAAAACACAGATGGCTTCAGGGAGCAGAGTTTTCTACATTCACAGCCTGTTGATGTTTGTCAATGTTTCATCTTTTTTTTTTTTTTTTTTTACCGTGTCCTGTCTGGCTGTGAAGCAAGCAGAATTGATGTCTGCATGCTGGAAACAAGCCTTACAGATTTACTCTCAGGTGGAGCATTAAAGCGTCTGCTTTTAATGTCACGCCTGATACTTAAAACTTTATTGTTATTATTTTTGAATGCTTTGTAACTCCGACCAGACACGGAGACAGAGGTGAAAGAGAAAGGAAAAGAAAAGGAGGGGAGATGTTTCATCTTTTTTAGGGAGATATGAAATTCCTCTGAAAGCAGGAATGAAGAACAAATCCACCACCATTAAAAAAAAAGTATATCTCCCAGATATCCATCACGTTGGATAAATTAACCTCTCAATACACTCATGAGATTAATACAAGAGCGTTTAGGTCCCAAAACTATCTGAAATAGAATCAATATTTATGCCAGACCGTTAAACCAATCAGGTTGTTTTAAGGTGGATTTTTCTTCATGTCAGTCTTTGATAATGTTCTTCTTTTTTCTTGAAAAACTGTAAAATTTATGCAAATGTTAAGCTTTTAAAACCCTAAGCCAGGTTAATTAAATTGTATTTAGGAGTCATACAATTTCTAGTTCTTGCCCTTACAGCCTCATTCAGGACTCCATGATTATTATATTTAAAATTCAATCACTTCAGTCTGTGATAAAAGGAACGTCTCCGTGAATCCTCTGTTGGAAATCTCCCTTATTCCCATTGCATAGGTCCTTTTGAAAGGATCAAAGGGAGATTAGAGCAAATTAAAAGGTTAAGAAGTTCTGAATTCACCGAATAGCCTGTTACTGTTTCAATCCACTGACATTAACTTCAGCTAATTAGAAATTTGATCCATTTACTGGACATTCAGGATCCGTGTCATTATCATAATTTGGTGTAACTACAATAAAATGTAAAGCATAGTCCCCTGCTTGCTGCTTTAAATGAGTAAAATGTATGTGAAAACTAATTAAAGAACACAAATGCATCTGCATGTAAAAGAATCCCCTTATGTTTTGTAGAAAATAGAAGAAAGCTTAACAGATTTAGCTCAGGTGGGTTTTATCTTTTAGTATTAAGCTCTCAATAGAGACTGTAAGTCATGGATTTTACTGATTCTCAGATAAATTGGTACAAAGTTTTACACGGCAGCTGCAGTACAATAAGGTAAAAATGATTTGGTGTTTAAAGAACAAGCACATTGTCTGTTACTGCTGTAGGAACAGCTTCTGTAATAAACTTCACTTCAAATCTCTCATTAGTGTAAGTGTAGAGGCCTGGATGCAAAACTCTTGATCAGATTTCCCCAGTGGTGCAAGTTTCTCCATGTGCATTTCACAAGTAGTGCAACAACTGATCTTTTTTACCACATTTCTTTTATGTTCTTTAAAGTATTTGAATTTCCTCCTTTTAACACACTAAAATGTGTTCTGTTCAAAGTAGAGATTTGTGCTGATGCTAAATATTGCTATTTTCTCCCTTAGCCAGTCGGTGGCCTCTACAGGAGTTGTTGTTAGGTCTCCCAGAATGGTGAACTCAGTTCGAAATGTGAAAAATGTCTAAACTTCCAAAAGTGTGACTTTATATGGGGTAGTACCATGTTTCATAACATAACATGTAAATGTGTAGGAGTGTGTATGGATGTGAATCTACACTCACCGGCCACTTTATTTGGTACACCTGTCCAGCTGCTCGTTAACATAAATTAGTAATCAACCAATCAGATGGTGGCCTCTCAATGCATTTAGCCATATTGCCATGGTCAAGGCGACCTGTTGCAGTTCAAACCGAGCTTCAGAATGGGGAAGAAAGGTGATTTAAGTGACTTTGAACGTGGCATGGTTGTTAGTGACAGACAGTCTGGTCTGAGTATTTCAGGAACTGTTGATGTTCTGGGATTGTCATACACAACCATCTCTAGGGTTTACAGAGAATGGTCCGAAAAAGGAAAAAACTCAAGTGAGCGGTGGTTCTGTGAGTTAAAATGCCTTGTTGAGAGGTCAGAGGACAAAGGTCAGACTGGTGCAAACTGATATAAAGGCAACAGTAACTCAGATAACCACTCATTACAACAGAGGCATACAGAAGAGCATCTTTGAATGCACAACACATCAAACCTTGAGGCAGATGGGCAGCGGTAGCAGAAGTCCACACCGGGTTCCACTCCTGTCAGTCAAGAACAGGAAACTGAGGCTACAATTCACACAGGTTCCCCAAAATTAGACAATAGAAGATTAGAGAAAAGGTAAACTGATAAGGTGACATTTGTGCACAGCTCAACTGGAATGTGAATTCAGAATTTTGAGACCATCTTCACACCCTCAGATTCCCACCGGGTCACCTAGACATGGAGTGCTTAAGTGCTGGTGGTAACACAACATTACAACTAAAGCAAGCTATCACTGCATCAATCTGATGAAGAAATTATAAAATCTACATTGTTTTACTGAACAATCACATGATAATAACTCACAGTGCATTTAGTGCCAACCACAGCCTTAAGACATGTGTTGAAGGTGCCCAAGTCCATACTTATGAGAGCATCATGTGAACACCTGTGTGTATACACATGCTTGTATATGTAAGGTTTGTCTATAGGAGCGTCCAATAGAGAGTGTGAGGGGGCACAGATCTGCCCCCCAAAGATGTGTTGGAGATGGAGGGAGCTCCAAATCCCAGAGATCCAGGAGCTGTCCCAGAGCACAGGGACCCCAGGGAGACTTGAACCAGAAAAGCTCCAGCCCCCTCTCGAGAGGAGCAGAGGATCGCCCCAGGGGGGTCACAACCAGCAGCAGGCAGAGTCCCGGGAGATATCAGCGACAAGCCCACAGGCCCGCCCGCAGCCTCCCACCCCCAAGTTGGCCGAGCCCAGAACCTAGCGACCGGGGACCCAGGGGCGACCAGCCCCGCCGGGGACCCAACATCCCACCAGGCATCCACCGGGATTGATCAGATTGATAAAATATCTCAAGAATATAACTTATATTTGAAAACAAATGATGTTTTCATATGCAAATAGTAATATTTGAATCGTATTTGGGCTTATCGTTGCTCTTAAAGGTTTAAAATGGCATGATGCAGTTCCTTTAAAATCTATTCTATAAGCACAGTGCTTCTCTTTTGACCAGACATAAAACTGACCCAAATGGTTTTGAAAATTAGCTGTTTTTGGTCCTAAACTGCCCTCTTTTTATACCCTAGGAGTCTGGACCATCAGTTTGCCAAAGCTAAAGGATAGTTTAGCAACGCTCCATTGGAACCTCCACAGCCCCAGCCAATGTTGTGGCCTGCCAATCACCGGACATTTATTTATAAAAACTATGTATTTTTGTATTTTTCTACAATGTAATGGTGGACTGCCACATTCACTGACATCCTTGGTGCTCTGCTGGCTTGGTGGGCCAATCACAGTGACACCTGACACTATCTGTCAGGTGGGCGGGATGTTAGTGCGACTGAGCAAAACAAAGATGACGATGGCTCCATAGCGGTCCACTCACAGCATTCTGCCGGTGGGCAGGCTACTCTTTTTATACTTGTATTTGGGATTTTAAATGTGTTTTTAAAGGCTGGTTTATGCTTCTCCGTCAGCTCCGCAAGGGACAGACACGCACGTATTGACGGAAGCGTTTTGCTCTTTTACTTCTCCGTCTCCTGGAGAGTGTTGCAAAGCAATTGCCCGGCAGGACAACAGAGGGCGTAGCGCTGTTCTGTGGTATCCTGTCATGTATCGGTCCAAGATCGTGGGTTCATATTGTGTTTTTTGTGTTTATAAGAGACTTTTTAACACGGACATATTTGTCTCTCATTCTCCCACCGCTTCATGCACTCCCCACCTCTAAACCCACGTTTCCTGTCATTTCCGTCCACAAATAAAACGCTTGCTGCACATCTTTTCACTCCTCCAGTCACGGGAGGATGAAACGTTCATATTTTTAGAGTTTTTTCGCGAGGTATTCTTCAATCTTCTCCGTGTCTGTCGCTAGTTATCATCTGCTCTCTTTGCAATGGCGGCGCTGTAAACAACAGCGGCGTCCTGACCAATCACAAGCTTGCGTAATCCGTCTCGTTCGACGGATGTTTAAAAAAGTGGGCTCGACTCCGTACGTACTTGCGTGCCTGCCGGAGCCCTACGCAAGGACGGATAATGGCGTTGCGTGTCTCCGCACTGACGCAGACGGAGAAGCATAAATCAGGCTTAAGTATAATGAAATTCAGTCAATGCCAGCTAATTAACTTTCACACAAAGTTCCACGTTTTAGCCTGAGAAAAGTTAACATTCTAATTAGGGATATCCCATCCTGTTATTGATATTGGAAGTTATTCGATATCATCCCAAAAACAGTGTATCGGATTATATCGGACGGCATCAAAAATCTACGGTATAAACATTCGTTAAGGTTCACAATTTTGCATCCAATTCGTTAAAACATTTTTTTCTCTTTTTTTTTCCTCATACTTGCTGTTATTGGCTCTTGTTCTCCGATTGAGTAATATCACTTGATCAAGCCTTTCATACATTCCGCACTACAAAATAGGTTAAAGTATGTGTGATTTGTGCTGATTTCGTATTGGATTCCTATCGGTATCGGTCAGTACTGAAGGGTGCAATATCAGTATCATATTGGAAGTGAAAAAGTTTTATCGGGACATCCCTAATTCTAATTTGAACCAATACCCCCTTGTTGGTGTCCGTATTGATCAAAAGCAGATAAAGTATAATTCCTAAAGTAAAAAAATAAAGAACAATTTCTTAAATTGTAACCTTGTCGTTGATGCTCTATGTAGTAATTTTGCACAACATGACTAGTTAAAAAATTAGCAGTTTTCAGTGTTCATGGTAAAGTCATCATACATCAAGGCTAAGGATTACTCCTGCTGCTGCGGTGTTGCTTTAGCTGAACTTGTGCTGAACTTTGTTTTATTGCTTCATTTCAAAGCAATAAGTAAAAAAAGGAGCAGAATTATTGTATTTTCTTTGACGCTGAACAGATATTGACCGTGATGTGTCCTGCTGAGGTGTACTCCATCTGAAGATTCCTCGCTTCTTTAATGTAATTTAGTCTCCTCAAAAACAGATTCCTGTTCAAAGTATACCATATCAAACACTGACAGGATGTGTTTGCTATTAAATGATTTCTTATGAATATTTATGAAGAACACAATTTCTTCACAAAAGCTGGATTCATTGTGTGAAGTATGCTTTCTTTTCTTTTTTCACTTTGCAGGGGTGTTGTGATTTAAGCAGGCTTTGCAAGCAGACTTCACATGAATCTCAACTCAGTGTATGGCTCAATTTGTTCACAAGTCGCCTGGGAACCCAGCTATTTTCCAGCAGGCATTCAACAAACATGCATCAAAAAGTAGATTTCCACAAAGGGAGGAAATTTCTACTTTTGTTTCTCAATTTTTTCCCCTTTTTTGTCTTGTTTTGTAATAGCTGAATTTATATTGTCGATAGCTAGCAATAATAGATGTTTTAAAATAAAATGAGCTGCATTGCGGGGGAAACTTCTTTACCTGAAGAAGACAGTATATCTGCTTCTGTTTCAAGAGAGGCAGTCTGCTGCTTGTTGTGTGTTGTGTCTGTGTGTTTCATTTATTTACATGTGTTTGTCTTCATGTCACTAACAAACCATATTCCCAAATGTCTTATGTTCATCGTTTTGACTTTGTATTTGTCTTGTGTCGTTTATCAGCCATGAAGACATTGATATAAACACCTGATTGAATATAGCACGTGGAGCAATGGCTTCCCTATTATTGAAATTAGACTGGATCTTGCCTTTACTTATCTACAAACAAAATTCTCTTGAATCCCCATGCATTTGGGTTGATCCACTCTAATCCATTTTGATACTGGCTCACTAGTGAAGCAACATTCCCTCTTGTGAGACATGAAGAAATTGAAGGTCTAGCACAAAAGTAAAGAGATTATGTTTGGTTTGTTTTAAAAGATTTGATATATCTTTATTTCATTTGAAAACCAGATTAGTTACATTTAGTGTCTGATTTAATTGTACGGATCATGTTTTTGTGAAACACAGCGATAATACATAGGTTCCAGCTAGGCTGCAACAGTTTGGCTCCTCCTCCTCTGGTCACGTTTTGCAAGGGGATGTCATCCCATCCCTTAACTAGGAGTGGTAACAGGATAATAGGAGTTTTTGGGTTTGGATAGGGTAGACTCCCTCCACCTGAGAGAGACTCCAATGAAGAAAATATCATTCTATAGCGCCTCTCAAGATAAAAATCACGAGGCGCTTCACAAAAACAAAAAAATGTAAAACTATAAAAAAGAATTTAGAAAATGGTTAAAAATATATTTAAAATGTGCAAAAAATAGACAATTGTGCCTAAAAAATGTTAAGAAAGAGAGAAAGTGAATAGGAAAGAGGTAAATCAGTGGATCCTGAGGAAGGTGGAATAAGTGGGGAGAACATAATAAAGAGAGAGTGGTGAAGAAGGTCATACAAAAGCCAGCTTGAACAAGTGAGTCTTCAGCTGCTTTTTAAAGGAGACCACTGAGTCTACTGATCTCTGGCTCAGGGGGAGAGAGTTCCAGAGTCTGGGGCCCACAGCAGCAAATGATCTGTTACCTTTGGTCTTTAGCCTGGTGCGCTGCACAACCAGTAGGCTTTGATCACTGGACCTCAAGGACCTGCTGGGGGGTGTAGGGACTAAGAAGATCACCAATGTAAGATGGTGCTTGTCCATGTAAGGCCCTATAGACCAGAACCAGGATCTTGAAATGAACCCTGAAGTTGACTGGCAGCCAATGAAGCTGAAGGAGAAGCGGGGTGATGTGGGTTTGTTTGGAGGACTTGGTCAGAAGCCGAGCACAGGCATTCTGAACCACCTGTAGACGGTTCAGGGAGGTTTTGCGCAGACGAGTGAAAGGAGAGTTACAGTAGTCTTAAGTGTGAGGAGATGAAGGTGTGGATAAGAGTGGGCCAGAATGGGGCTCAGCTTAGCAATGTTCCTGCGATGGAAGAAGGAACAGCGAACAAGAGAACTGACATGAGAAACCAGGGTGACAGCTGGGTCAAAGGTCACGCCAAGATTCCTGACAGAAGGTTTGGTGTGAGAAGCAAGCTGACTAAGAGAGTCTCTGACTTTGGGAACCAGCTTGTCTGGGGTACAGATGAGGGTCTCAGTCTTATCTTCATTCAGCTGTAGAAAGCTCCCAGCCATCCAGGTTTTGATAGAGTCTAAGCAGGTGTGTAACAGCTGCAGCTTGGACATCTCATGGGGCTTAAAGGAGATGTACAGTTGGATGCCATCTGCATAAAGATGGTAGGAGATTCCTTTGAAGGAGCTCAGGATGTGCTGAAGAGGGAGCAGATAGAGTAGGAATTGCAAAAGCCCCAGCACAGAACCTTGCGGGACACCATGGGTAAGGGAGGTGGTGGAAGACCTAAACTTGGAGACGGCCACAGAAAAGAAGCGCTCAGAAAGATAAGAGGAGAACCACTCCAGAGCAGTTCCTGATTGGCCTACCCAGTCTCTCAGTCTCTCCAGTAGCAGGTGATGGTCAACAGTGACAAAAGCTGCAGTCAGGTCCAGCAGGACCAGAACAGAACAGTCCCCTGCATCACTGAGTCAGAAGGTCATTAGAGACCCTAAGAAGAGCTGTTTCAGTAGAATGAGCTCTGCAAAAACCTGACTGGAAGCTATCATAGATGTTATGTTCATCAAGATCAGCTGTGAGTTGTTTAGCCATAACCTTTTCCAAGATCTTGGAGATGAACGGAAGTTAAGAGATGGGTCTGAAGCAGCTATGGAGAGAGGCGTCAAGTCTCGTTTTTTTTTTTTTTTTTTTTAAGCGGGTGGATTACAGCGTTCTTAAAGTAAGCAGGGACCTGAACAGAAACCAGAGAATCATTAATAATGGAGAGCACGCTGGGACCGATGGACTGAAAATCACTTTTATACAAAGATGAGGGTAAAATGTCGAGGGGGCATGCAGAGGTCTTCATAGAGTTAACTAGTTTGGTTAACTCAGGCAAAGAAACAGGAGCAAAGCTATCTAGGATGATGGGCCTGGTTGGCGTCGAGAGAGGCTGAAGGAGAGATGCTAGATCTAACCTTATTTACTTTGTCCACAAAGAAAGACAAAGTTCTCACAGTCTTTAACAGAGTGGATGGAGGCTGTCAGAGAGGCAGGAGAGACAATGATGCTGATGGTGTTAAACAGCACCTTGGGGTTCCCTTTGCTCTGGGACACCAGGTTGGAAAAATAGGAAACCCTCGCGTCTCTGACTACAGAGTTAAAGGATGCCTGAAGGTCCTTTAGGTGCAGGGCTATCTTTTCATATCTTAATACTTTTTGTCATGATTGCCAGCTTTGTATTCTCTTTTTTTGTTGTTGTTGCTGTTGTTCATTATGCAAACCAGCTCTTTATCTACTTGTGTATTTTTCCTAGTGGTTTGCTTTGATGCCAAGATCAACTTTGACGATAACGCTGAGTTTCGTCAGAAGTCTGTGTTTGCCATGGATGACATGTCTGAGAGTGACCCCACAGAGATGGAGGCAGCCAAGTGGGACCTCAAATATATTGGAATGGACGGAAACATTGCCTGCTTCGGTATGACTGCAAAGCCCTTTAACGCACGCTCACCAACAAATAAATGCATCCTCCTCCTTAAGCATTCACCTTCTGGCATAGGACTTTAATGCCCCTCTTTAATTGCTTAAGTAAAAGCTCTGACACAGTTAAAACTTAGACAAACTAAAGACTGCCCGGGTTCTCCTCCCGTCAATGTTACAAGCAGCTTTCTGAAGACTAGAATGAACACTGCCATAACCAATGCATTCTAAATAGCTATAATCCACCCAGAAAGTCTCTAGTGAGGCAGATTGTTAGCATTCTCATTAAAGGGCTCCTCTCCTGTCATAAATCAAAGCTTTTACAGTGTACAGCAGCACTAACAGGTGCTCTCGCTCCTTACCCCATAGCCTCATAAACACATTAGATGTCTGTTAGCGCTACTCCCCCTCCGTGCACACGCTCGCAGCTGATTCTGCATCCACCGCTCCCACACTCTTAGAGTAACAACAGCTTTTAAGACCCCGCAGCTTCTGTGAGAGCTCTGTAAGCCACCAAAGTGACAGCTGTTAAGGCAAATTTCCCTTTTATTGAGACCTCAGTCGGGGAGCTTGCCAGGACACAAGTTCAGCTTGGCTAAACTAAATGAGGTACGACGTATGACCCAGCAGGGTAGTAGTGCTGGCAGTAGGTTAAATGATACAGGCCACAAAAGCACAGTGCATTCTCATTTAGTCAAATCTTGTCTCTGAGGTTTATTGGTGGATTCCGTATCATTTTCTTTGATTTCTTTAACTGTTTTCCTTATTAGATGACTTGCAGTAGATCTAAATGTGGCTTTTTCTTAAACTATTTAAATCCAGTAATGTTTTAATTAACAATATTTGCAGTCATCACCCACTTATCTCAGTTTTATCTCAGATCTCTTAACCGTCTTCCTCTTGGAAAACATGTCCTTCATTCATTCAGTTGGTCATTTATTAAGGAATTCCATGGAGGAATACAAAATGATGGCTTTTTGGGATGTTTGCTTTCCAAACAGTGAATGGAGCTGGTTTGGCCATGGCAACATGTGACATCATAGACCTGCATGGGGGAAAGCCGGCTAACTTCCTGGACCTTGGAGGTGGAGTCAAAGAGAGGCAGGTGTATGAGGCTTTTAAGCTGCTGACTGCTGACCCTAAGGTAGGTGCTGACTTCTGAAAAACATGTTGGCTTTTATTTTTTCTCAAGTTTTACCATAATAACAGATCACATAAGCCAAACTCATCCTTAGGCATTCCCTGAAAAATTTACATTGTGTCCATTGCTTGTTTGCATTTATTAGTGAGGGTTTCTTTTATAATTCACAAGTCTTTCTCTTTGTGGTTCTCTCCTTGCTTCTGAGACAGAAGCTCTCAGTAGAGAGAAGGTCCTTGGCATTTGGCTACTGTGTTGATATAAACCTTCATTTCTTAGACTAGCTCAATCATGATAAATGATAAATGGCCCGCACTTGTATAGCGCCTCTCAGAGAAAGGACTCCAAAGTGCTTTACACTACAGTGTATCATTCATCCATTCACACACACATTCACACACTGATGGTAATGAGCTACAATGTAGCCACAGCTGCCCTGGGGCACACTGACAGAGGCAAGGACGAATCATTACCGTGCAATGAATTTGTGTCTTATAGACTTATTTTGATGAAGATCGTCATGTGCATATTAACACACAACATAGTCAATCAAAGCCTGCGTCTGAGAGTCTTATCTCTGTGTGAGTGACAGCTGGGGGCGTTTTACAAATGATTCTACTCTATGTTCAGAAATCTAATAAATCCAGACTAAACAACCTGAGCCTTGTAATTGTACTGCTGGGCTGATGGTGTGTTGACAGTCATCACATTTCTAATTCCCTCACTGCTGTCGTTCCCATATCCCTGCCCTGGTCTATGGTTGCCTTTGTGTTAGCATCTCGGGCAGGCCTTTAATACGTGAGAAAACAGAGAAAAGCTAACTGAAAGTTAACTTCTCTGTCCAAATTTTTATAAATGTATTCATCACTATAACAAGTGTCTTTTTTTGACTTGACTGTAAGTGATCTGCAGATTGTGTTTCATACTAATTACTAGCAGTGGTAGCTCATCTGATATTGTTTTCACCTCATGTGAACTTGTCAAAACACATCCTCAGAGAAACCTAATGTGTAACTCAATAGCTTTAAATAAAAGGCAGTCACAGAACTTGATGTGAAATGTTGACTTTTGTACTAATACCAGTATGTTAGGTATGCTAGGTGTAAAATGAGAACTTTCCTTTGTGATCAGGGTATCTATATGTTCTGTTGTTTGTTGTCCCCATTCTCCCTCTGCACCTGTGAGTCGTGAGCACCAGACGCGCATTTTGCTCAAATATTTATAAGTCTCAATGTCGACACGCTGACTGGTGGTGGAGAAACTCGGGATTCTTTCAGAAGTTGATTTATGTCTTATCTTCACATTTGTCTTTGTAAGAAAATACAGTGGGTAAAAGTAGACAAAGTTTTAGTGTCTGATTCCTTCTGGTTTCGGTCTTTAGCAGCTCAAAGTGTACAAATGAAAATATATAATCTTGAAATTAGCTGTAATAGTATTTTTATGCAGTAACATGGAATCCTGTTATTCATAATACACATATCTGCTGAAAACACTAAAAATCTCCTCACGTTGTCCACCGTACCCAGAGGACTAAGTCATCAGATAACAGCCAAAAGTTCTTTTGTGGATCATACTGGAAGCAAGTTGCACGACTATCCCTGCAAGCATAATCAATTTATTCCATAAAATTTACATTCCTTTATTATAATTGCATGTAATTAGAAGGTTGCCGGTTTGAGCCTCACTCGGTCTGTCGCTGCCATTGTGCCATTGTGTTTTGTAAAGTCATTTTGGTGTGTTCTAGGACTCTATAAATTGTGATATTAAACATAGGCCATACCATTACTTTATTAAGATGGCTTAAGTTTTTTTGAACTTTTTTAAACATTGCACTGTATGATCCAATTAACGTTGCATATTGTATGAAAACAGCAACTCCATGAAGTGATTGGATCCAATTTACTTCCAGTACTGGTCACTGGTGAGAAAGAAAGAACCAAAACAACACAAACTGCAGCGAGTTGACCGATAATGAGATAATGGCATTCCAATGTTAATTTGAGCTCTAAATGATCTTGAATATGTATATATTGTCTTAAACTAACCAAAGTAAAACTAACTCAGGGATTATATAAATGGCGCTCACAAGATTTTCATTGTTGGTCTCTTAAGCCAGGCATCAGCTTCTCATAAAATAGTCACTGGATAAAAATAGCCCAGCAAAGAGTTGGTGCCGTATCACAAAGTAGGTCAACAACAGAGATCTGGAGCTAAATTTGACCAGTTACTATAATAGCAGTGACCATGACACCCCCGTTGAAAATGTTTCTGACAAAACTCAATGAAAGATGTCTTTACTTGAATGAATACCAACACCATAAAATGTTGCAATGACTATCCAAACATACAATGTAAAAAAAAATTATATATATACATATATGTGTGTGTGTGTGTGTGTGTGTGTGTGTGTGTGTGTGTGTGTGTGTGTGTGTGTGTGTGTGTGTGTGTGTGTGTGTGTGTGTGTGTGTGTGTGTGTGTGTGTGTGTGTGTGTGTGTGTGTGTGTGTGTGTGTGTCTGTGTGTCTGTGTGTGGCTGTAAAAGAAAACCCACTGAGGAAACTTAAATTACCAATGTAGGCAGGCCAGTGTTGGACACCTTTGTAGATAAAATTGAAAAAAACAATTGCTCACTTTAACACCATGGTTGGATATCTACCATTGAAGTCAAACATCCACTTTTTGATCGGTTTTGTCATTTAAATTACAACCAGAAAATTGGTAAGGAAAATTAATCTGGCAGTTAAAAAATTTAAATGCAATCAACAGGAGGGGGAAGAACTTCCGTCATCCCCCATATGAAACCATTAGGGCTATTATAATACATTTTTAAATAGGATGGGTTGCAGAGACAAATTCAGACAGAATGAAAGAAACTCCATGGAGGAGAGGACCAGCCCTCCTGTTCCTCATTCTCATCTCATCCTGGACCGTCTCCCCAAATCCAGATGGGGGAGTAAGCCTGCTGCCTGTCCCTCCTGCTGTTGTGTATGGAAATATCAGCCAGAAGCTCCTCCCTAACGGAAAAAGTCCAATAGGATTGACATTAAAGAGGGCTGGAAGGCCCATTAGCATTTCAACTAGGGGTAGCAGAGAAACCTGCTCAGATCTGTGGAGGGAATCTTAATCATTTTATAATTTGAGCAAGCTGCTCATTTGCATTTATTTATTTTTCTGATTCATAAATTAACACTCCCAGTTCTAAAAATTTAAATTCATAATTAAACACAGCTTTAAAATGTCTGTTTCTTTTGAAGGAAAAATAATCACTCACGGTTTATTCAGAAAGCAAAACATACGTAGCTGATGGTGAGACTGGTATTAAAGGTTGAATATGAAAGAATTTAATATACAGTGAGGAACATAAGTATTTGAACACCTTGTGATTTTGCAAGTTCTCCCACTTAGAAATCGTGGAAGGGTCTGAAATTCACATTGTACGTGCATTCTCACTGTGAGAGACAGAATGTAAAAAATAAATAAATAATTAGGAAATCACATTGTATGATTTGTAAAGAATGTATTTGTTTTTCACTGCTGCACATAAGTATTTGAACACCTGGCAATCAGCAAGAATTCTGGCTCTTAAAGACCTGTTACTCTGCCTTTAAGAAGTCCACCTGTACTCCACTTAGTAGTCTTAATTAGTAGCACCTGTCTGAGCTCTTTAAGACACCTATCCACCCCACAGTCAGTCAGACTCCAACTACTACCATGGGCAAGACCAAGGAGCTGTCAAAAGAAACCAGAGACAAAATTGTGGATCTCCACAAAACTGGAAAGGGCTACGGGGAAATTGCCAAGCAGCTTAGTGAAAATAGATCCACTGTTGGAGCAATTGTCAGAAAATGGAAGAGGCTAAAGACGACTGCCAGTCTCCCTTGGACTGGGGCTCCATGCAAGATCTCATCACATGGGGTATCACTGATGGTAAGAAAAGTGAGTAATCAGCCCAGAACTACACGGGAGGAGCTGGTCAATGACTTGAAGAGAGCTGGGACCACAGTTTCAAAGGTCACTGTTGGTAGAACACTATGCCGTCATGGTTTCATTGCACGAAAGGTTCCCCTGCTCAAGTCATCACATGTCTATGCCCGTCTGCAGTTTGCCAGTGACCATCTGGATGATCCAGAGGAGGGTTGGGAGAAAGTCATGTAGTCAGATGAGACCAAAGTAGAACTTTTTGATCTAAACTTCACTCGCCCTATTTGGAGGAAAAAGAAGGAGGAGTTGCATCCAAAGAACACCTTCTCTACTGTGAAGCATGGGGTTGGAAATATCATGCTTTGGGGGTGTGTTTCCGCGACGGGGACAGGACGACTGCACTGTATTAAGGAGAGGATGAAAGGGGCCATGTATTGTGACATTTTGAGCAACAACCTCCTTCCCTCAGTCAGAGCATTGAAGATGGGTCGTGGCTGGTCTTCCAACATGACAATGACCCAAAGCACACAGCCAGGATAACCAAGGAGTGGCTCCGTAAGAAGCATATCAAGGTTCTGGAGTTGCCTAGCCAGTCTCCAGACCTAAATCCAATCGAAGATCTTTGGAGGGACCTGAAACTCTGTGTTGCTTAGCACCAGCCCCAGAACCTGACAGATCTAGAGAAGATCTGTGCGGAGGAGTGAGCCAAAATCCCTGTTGCAGTATGTGCAAACCTACTCAAGAACTACAGGAAACATTTGATCTCTGTAATTGCAAACAAAGGCTTCTGTACCAAATATTAATACTGATTTTCTCAGGTGTTCAAATACTTATGTGTAGCAGTGCAAAACAAAGAAATTCTTTACAAATATTACAATGTGATTACAAAGAAATTCTTTACAAATATTACAATGTGATTTCCTGATTTATTTATTTATTTTTTTTACATTCTGTCTCTCACAGTGGGAATGCACCTACAATGTGAATTTCAGACCCCTCCATGATTTCTAAGTGGGAGAACTTGCAAAATCACAAGGTGTTCAAATAATTATGTTCCTCGCTGTAAAGCTATATTTGTTTTAAAAT